CAGTGGATCATCAGTAGCTTGCACCATGTCTCCCCACCAACCCCCATGCCCGAGGGCAGTAAGGCGGCAAGAGATCATGGGAAGGATGGGCATTCCATGTTGCCATAAATGGAAAGAGGTAGGGAAAACCTCCAGGGGACCCTGCATTCTGATTCCCTTTAGGATCTGGAAACTTGGTATTTCTTTAGTAGAGTCTCAGAGGAAGAAACATGGTAGCCAACCGCAGGAGCAGACACTGGGGAGCCGTCTTGGTGTTTCTGTGATTGTGTGGTGTTCCCGGGGAAGCAGCCAGCACCCCCTGGGGTAGCAGTTTGAGCAGGAGGGAAGAGTGTCCTCCTCTCCCTATGAAGTCTAGATGAAAAATGGCAGAGCTTTGGGATTTGGGCAGAGAAAATTGATTTGGGAGCAAAACACAAACAGAAAAGGCCCTCTGCTCTTCCTTTTCTCCCCCTGCCATGTAGGTGTCTCCTCAGAGGAGTCCTTTAAGAAAAGGGAGCATGCCATAGGAAAAGAGAGAGAACCTGCAGGGCTCTGTGTGCGGGTCTCACTTTTAGAGAATCTGCTTTTAGACAGAAACGAATGATGAGCCTTCGTACACGTTCCCAGCATCCCAGATTTCTTCTAGATGACCTCACCTTCCCCATCGCAGCCAGAGCGCCCCTGACTTCCAGTGCCCAGCCCCAGGGCTTTGGCCCAGCCACCTTGGGAAGGTCAGGAAAATTAGAGTCGCCCTCAGGAGCTAGGGACGTGAGACTCAGAACTTAGACCGATCTCTTTTCATTAAGCAGGGCCCTGGCTTAACAAGCGGTTTTATAAATCTGAAGCTGTCTCCGGGTGTCGCAGGATTTATAGACGGGGGTTTCTGCCATAAAGTGGTTTATGATGGCTGCCTTCTGTGTTATTAGTAGCTGTCTCTTCCTTCAACCATTGCTGTTTGATAATAGCCTTAAAACACCCAGAATTACTTACCTGCAAGCCCCATTCCCGATAGCCCCTGTTGACAGTCTGAATAAGTTTACTGCCCTTTTGTTGTACTTTACCTTCAAAACAAACTGATTGAACCATCAATAGCTCGTGGAAGCTGACAGAGGCATGTCATCTGGACTAGCCCTTGTGATTGCAGGTTATCTGGGGGAGTTAGCCTTCTCGCATTGTTAACTGAAGTGTTTTATGTACTATGCAACTTTAGGATACGGCTGTGATAACCCCAGTAACTAAGTAATACATCACGGTAAAGAGATTTTGGTGCAACAAATAACCCTGGATTAAATTTACAAGGGTTGAATTGATATTGTAAAGGCCTTCATTCTGTGGCTCCGGGAATCTTCGGTTGTATTTTTATAGCAAACTTGTATTATACCCGGGATGGAAGCTGCAGCTTTTGACACCCTGACACGACCTAGAACAAAGGGAAATAGATCTCCCAAGCCCGGGATAGGACATGCAGACAGAGAGCCCACTGACTTATCACTTGGCAGGGGTGTTTGGAGCTAGTTGCAAACCACCAAGGGGCAGAGAGATGTGTTGGAGGTGGCCGCCCTCCGCGCCCTCTGTACCAGATACGGGGCATGGCAGACTGGCAGCAGAATCGGGAGGGAGATTCCCTATCATGTCACGAACCTCGTAATTCCAAAGATGTTATTCCTCATGGTGTTAATTTTATTTGGACAGAGGCTTGCAGCAGGACCAGTGGCATCAGCCTCGCCACCCCTGCCTGGGAACTTGCTAGAAATGTGTATTCCAGGCCCTACGACAGATGTAGGGAATCAGAAATTCTGGGGGTGAGGTCCTGTGATCTGTGTTTCAGCAAGCCAGATTCGAGGGGTTGCCGATGCCCTCTTAAGTTTGAGAATGTCTGTGCTGGAATCTAAGCTCCTTGAGAGCAGGGACCTTGTCTGTTTTGCCAATCACCTTATTCTCTGCACCTGGCACAGTTTGTGATGGGTGGTAGCAGCTCAGCAATTACTGGTTGTGTGAGTGCACGTATGAAGACGTCTCTGGGGGGGATCTTTGGACCTGGGCTGAGTCTCAGGCTGAGTTATCTGGGCCAGGCCTTCCTGATGTCCCTCACACCTCTCCAGGCATCAACCACCTAGAAGCCCCAGATTGGCCGTGAGGATGGGAGCCAAGTCAGCCCTAGTTTCAGGGATGAGTGGCAGCCTATTTCATGGGCTGTTTCTTCGATTGTATAAGAAGAGTGCTCTGAAAACAGCAGCTCTTTGTCATCTAACATTTTTAACTAGCTTAAAAGCCAGCACCTCTCTCTCTCTCTCTCCTTTGATTTCAGGGCTGTGATCCAAAGTGGGGCAAAATGACAACGTGCTGTCTGTTGTCATCATGGTTCCTGCCAGCCCCGTGAAGACATCTTTCATTCCATCATTAAACATTGGCTGATTTTCTAATACTGATGTTTTCTTCACCTGAATATTCATCTTTTCCCACCCTACACTTAGTGGGTGTCTTTACTCCTCTGAGCGTCACTCCTGACATATTGTTTCCGTCTGTACATGTCTTTATTTGAAAGAATCTGTTGTCATCAAGACTTTGCTGCTATAAGCAGAAGATGGAAGTTTTCTCTGACACTGACTGAGGCCAGTGGGAGTTCTACTGGAGGAGAGAAGTTCATCTGAGGCTTTTTGGAAACTTTCTGATTTTGGAGGAGGCTAGAGGGTATTTGGAAAAGGAAGGGAGAGGTTCAGGGAGAAGTTGGAAAGAAGAGAATAGATTGAGACTAGGGAGGAAGTGGACAGTCCAATTTCTGGGACCTCAGATGTTGGGGTGGCCATTTCTGGGGAAGAAAACTGTACCTCAAAAATAACTCAAGAGTCTTGTCACTTGAAAGAGTATTTTGACAGGAAGCCGCTAAGCTGTTTTCTCTGGTATTTCAGCAGTCAGCCAGATCTTTGGGCAAGTATATGGAGGCCACCTGGTGACGTGAGACCTCTAATGAATGTGGGAGCTGGCCTCCGGTGCCCAAGGCTCCTGTGAGGAGGGGGGCATGCTACACACTGTAGGTCACATTTGCACTGAGAAAAAGCTTGGTGCCTAGGGTTGATTTAGGGTTTGGTTCTTTGAAGATCATCACTTGAGATTTCTTGTTTCTCCTCTTTTTCCTCTAGCCATGAGCTTTCAGTCATCCAGTGTGTGATGTTTGGTCCCTTTCTCTGTGCTCCCAGAATTGCTTTGTGCATAACTCCAATCTCAGCACTTAGCTGTGTGAATTTCTACTGTGTCTATTTGAGTCTATCTTCCCCATTACACCGAGAACCCCTGTAAGAGCAGGAATTGTGTTGTAATCACCTCTCTATACCTGGAGCCTGGTACAAGGCAGGTGCTCAAGAAATATTCATATAACTGAAATAAACTTTATTGAGTCTAGTCTAATGCTACTTCTTGAAAGAGTATGAGGATGAGAAAAAAAAAATGTCCTTGCCTTTAAGAAGCTTACAGGTGAGGACATCAACTGAACACCAATAAAATGAATAAAAAACGTAAAAAAAAACAACCAAGCGTTAGATGGTATGGTGCTCCCAGTATATCCCGGGAGTACAGAGAAGGAAGAAAACAGTGTGGTCTGGAGATGCAGGAGAAAAGTTCATGTGGGTTGGGATTTGAAAGATGAGTAAACACTGAGGAGGCTGAGTATAGGAAGGAAACGCCAGATTCCAATGGAGATAATCTACTGCTCTTGACATTGGGTACTTACCTCTTCTTCCTAAGTGGGACAGGGTCTAAACAATTGTTCCTTTAAGTGATCAAGTATGGGGGCTCGACAGAAATCATCTGGGTTGATAACTGTCCCTGAGGAAGCGGAAGAATAGGCAGGTGTCAATGCCTTTTATATATTTATTTATATGTTTATATATCTATGCCATGGCCACGTGGATCTTCTCATCAATTCCAAATATACCTGCCTAATATTTTCTCACACAAGTAGCCATTAACTTATCCTTGGAGGCCATGATGGACACCAAAGACTCTTTCTGGGGGGAATTTGCATTAGTATTTATTGGGCTATTAAATTAATATCTCCTAGAGGGACACCTGGGTGGCTCAGCAGTTGAGCGTCTGTCTTTGGCTCAGGGTGTGATCCCGGGGTTCCAGGATCGAGTTCTGCTTTAGGCTCCCTATGAGGAGCCTGCTTCTCCCTCTGCCTGTGTCTCTGCCTCTCTTTCTCTCTCATGAATAAATAAATAAAATATTTTAAAAAATCCTCTAGAATCTTATTCTTCTTGTTTTACCTTGGTAAAGATAATCGTCATCATGCCAGTGTGGAGGTAACTCAGGGATGGTCCCTGTTTGATTCTTCAAGGAAGCATTTCTCAGCTATGTGTGCTCCTATCTTCTATCCTGAAGTCATCCATGTTATCACAACCTGTGTTCTAGTTATTGTCCTGGATGGCCAATGTCTTCCGTCTTAGTTTCAAACTGAAGATTTGTTTTGTTTTAAAGATTTATTTTCAAGTAATCTCTATCCCCATTGTGGGGCTTGAACTTACAGCCTCAAAATCAAGAGTCACGTGCTCTACCGACTGAGTCAGCTAGGCATCCCAAAGATTGCTTTTATCTAAGAAATGAGAGTTATGACCCACAGGAAGGCAGTGACACAAATGGTACAATTAGGTTGTAGATTAGTTTCTCTGAGAACTTTCTGCATGGCAAAGAAGCTGGGCCCATTTCCAGAATGGAAGGGCAGGGGAATACAGGATCCTCCTGGCTCATCCAGGTGTGTGTGTGTGTGTGTGTGTGTGTGTGTGTGTGTGTCTATATTTGAATCAAGAGCAATTGTTAGTGTGTATTTTTGAGGTTTAGTTGTATGTGTGAAATATAATTATTTGGATTTCTGCAAAGAGTGATTGTTCATTCTTTGTGAAAGAGAAGCAGCAACCAAGATCTAAACTTCTGAAGACCTAATGATGTAGATCCCTTAGCCTGAGACAAATTGCATGGATCTTTGAGGCCATTGCCTACCCTCCTGAGTTGTCTCTGTTTTCTTTCAGATGCTTTGTTCTGCACAAGCTGCCCAATTTGAAGTTTCTGGATGCCCGGAAAGTAACCAGACAAGAACGAGAGGAAGCTTTGGTCAGAGGGTCATTCATGAAGGTGGTGAAGCCCAAAGTAAGCTGCCAACTTTCTGGTCTTCACAAGGGATTTATGTCTTGCCCTACTGGTTATTCTTTGAGCACAGAGGACCTTTTTCTGTGTTTGGAATGCAGGAGAGATCTCCAACCAGGGTTTTATCCGTGGATACGCTGTTGGCCTAGCAAGACGTAGGACTGGGAATAAATTGGGTCTTCCTGCGATCTATCTAAGGGGACCTCATTTGGAAGGTGATTTCACCCAGGTGGCTCTTTTACCAATAAAGCAGCACCATATACAGCCCAGTGGTGACATTCTGGGGGGCAGATTTCAAAGTGCCTTCTTGAAGATGTTTCATTTACAAGGTGGGGTCTCTACAGGTCTGTTGCTGAGAAAGGAAAAAGAAGAAAGTCTGGGGCATTTCCTTTTCCTCAGGAGGGTAGGACTATTCTAGTAACCCAGAAGGAGCTCTTCTTTCTTGGGGCCCTAGTGGAGGTAGGGGAGAGTGATTTTCTTCTGTTCACAGGTATGAAGGCTCAACAGGTCTTGGAGATATTATTAGTGGGAAAGGCCTTTTCTTCCCCCCTGACAATGTGACCTGGGACTAGCGTATCCTCTCTAGATGCAGCTCTCCAGAGCTCTTAGGAATAGTTTTACTGCCCTTTCCTTTATCAACTGAGTCTGCATTGAGGCCATGGAAGTGCATATGGTGCCATCTTCGTGACAGTACTGATAAGGCAGGAGATATATGGCTTTGAGTCTTGGATTCAGAGTCAAGGAAATGTTTAAGGATGTGGAAAGTCATCTCTTTGGGAGGAGTTGGGATCCTTCTGTGAAGCCCAGGGCTAGGGAATGGACCAGATGACCCCTGATGACCCCTTTCAAGGTCCATCACTGCCCCAGAGCCCAATGGAGCTACCTAGGGCCCCCCTTTCCTGTGGGACCCTAGCTTGTTGTGTTGAAAACATTGGCCCAGAAATCCTGGAGGTCTAGTTTGTCCTTGCCTATTGACTTAGAGCACCTTGCACATGCATTGGAAATGATTAAGAGGGAAAGAGAAAAAAACAAACAGAACCAAAACAGAAAAACGAAACCTCTTCCATCAAGTTGCTCAGCTGGCAGCAGACCTCAGGCCACTTTCTCTCCCTGAATCCATGAGGTGCAACTTATTTCCCGTTATGCTGAATAAAATTGCTAACAGTTGTGGAAATATATGATACGGAGGGTATAATACTGGCAGATAAATGTATTGTTACCTGTTTCAGCATGTGGGAAATTAATTGAGTGATTCGTTTCATAGCTATTAAAGTGTTAACAGTTTTCCTTATCGAGGCAGAGATTTGATGTATTGCTCATGACTGCCTTTAGTTATTCCAGCTTTTGTAATTTTGTCCAAATGAAATAATTTATTTCTTGGCCTCCATTTTTTTTCAAGTTAAAAGATTCCAGAGGCAGCCAACATCGCCAAACAAAGGACAACAAATGAACTGTTTATAATACGTTGGGTTCCTGCCCATTCAACATTTTCCACCCTTACGTCTCCTGCACTTTATAGGACAGATCAATATTTCTCTCCTGCTCCCCCTGTTCCCGACAGGGGAAGCTCTGTGTTGTCACAGGAAATCTGAAGGGGCACCAATTATAATACCCATCATGGTTGTGTGGGGTGCTCCATGTGTGCTCACCATGGTCCTCAGGCTCTGTGTGTACAGATCTGGGAGTCCTCAAATCACCCTGAAATATAGGAGGTGATAGAGGTGGGATAACTGAGGCCGAGAGGTGTTCATTGGGCAGCCTGGCTAGGAAGAGCTGACAATGGAGCTTTCCTGGTGTGTCTGCCCACAGAGCCACATCGTTCAACTCAGGTCTTACCTCTGGAGCAAGTGAGTCGAACATTTTCCCCCATGCATTTCTCTGTTCGAAATAAGAACCTCATAAGAAGGCCTAAAGGAAGAAAACAGGTAAAAGCTGAATTGCTCTTTTGGAGTAAAGGGGGCAACAGGGACCGAAATCCCCGCTGGCTTTGGAAGCAAGTGGGTATGGCTCCTTAAAATCCAGTAGGAGCTGGCTCTGAGTCATTAACAGCATCAGCAGAAATGCTCTTCAAAGCTCCAAATTACTTTCTAATCAATTATAGAATTAGCTTATGTTTGTGTGATTGACTCCCACGTCTTTGCTAATGGTATTAGGCTTAAAAATACCCATTAATTATTTGAGGAGAGACAGACATAACTCTGACAAAGCATGAGGATCTTCACTCCGTAGCTTTCTGGAGTGTCACATGATTTTCAGACTGGAGAGGACTTCAGAAATCACCTGGTCTGAGCTCTCATTTTGTGGGTGAAGGAACCAGGTGGGGATGGAGCTTCCTTCCTATGGCCCCTACAGCCCGGCAGAGCTGGGATCAGAACCCAGGGGCCTGGGCTTCCAGTTGGGTGCCGTATCTATGCCATGATACTTCAGGTGCACCAGAGGCCTTCCCTGGGTCTTGCTCTCATAGCAAACTGTATGCTTCTCTTGAACGCCAGGCGATTCCCTTCGGCCTGGTTTCAGAGACACGCATTGGTACTTCTCTGGCAGATAGAAAGAGGCCAAATGAGCTTCTTGCTGAATTAGTAAATTGGTGTTCAAAGGGCTGGTTTTCGCCTGCTCACAGTGTGTACAGACATATGTTTGTTCCTGCGCAGGTGTTTATATTCGCTTTCTATCTCTGTGTGTGTATACATATGTATGTTTGGGGGGTCTGTGTACACCCGGAGTCGGCTTCTAAGTGGAGAGCAATTTACTCCCCGTGAATTGCCGACGCTGTGCTGAGCACACTTGGTGAAGCCCTATTTTTCATCACAGAATCGGGATCTCAAGTTGGCTTCTGTCCTTTCTCAGGCAGCAGTGGCCTGTTGTGCTTATTCAGCAGAATGCTCTGATGGATGATCAAGGAGGCCGTGATTTGGGGAGCTGTTTTCATTTTATTCCTGACATAAAGTATTTGGGAGAATGGAAAATGCCTCTCCAATCACAGCCCTTGCCTTGGAGGTAGGGAACAGGTGGTCTGGGTGTTCTAGGCTGACGCAAATGCAAAATCATCCAGGAGCTAATAAACCCCCTATGTCACAAAGGTTTGATTTGGTACCCGGCAGGCCCTGGCGCTTGAGTGCAAGTTCGCCCTAGCCTTCTCCCATGATGACACCTGCCCCCTTCGTTGCTGCCTTGTGGCTTTTGTTGTTTAAAGGCTGCTTTCTCTCCGAGAGCTCTGATAGTCCTCTAGAAAGACACCATCATTCATTAGGGAAGTGATAGCTAAGGCTCCAATTGACTCCTCCAGTCTGGTGTGTTTATGTTGTTAGCTAAGGAATCTACAACAGCTAGGCTTTGCTCCTTTCCTGGAACTTTAAAGAAAATAGGTATCTTTTGCAAATACTGGCCCCTGGAATCATGCCATCGTCAATGCCAAGGGCACCAAGCTGGACGCTGAGAAGGCGGAGGCCCCCAAAGAAAGGCTTCTGTGATGGCAAGGCCATGATCCCCTCTCACCACATCGGGAAACATAAATCAAAGGGGTGCAAGGCCTGTCCAGGGGGGTATGCATGGCGGACATGCCAGCCCTACGCATCAGACAGTTCAAGAACCCGACAGTCAGAATTGCTTAATTATGTCCTGGCTTTGTAATTATTCATCCCTGTTCTGGCAAAGAGTACAGTTGTCATTTCTTTGACATAATTATTTAAAGCTGAGCCCTCTTGTTTACAGGCATGTACATGAAGTTGGCTACCAACTGTGTAATCTTCAGAACCTTATAGAAGCAGTGGGGAGAGCAGTTAGACTGAGAATCACAGCCTGTGTGAGAAAGTGTTTTGACACGTGGACTTTTGCTTCTAATTGTGGCCATTCTGCTGTAGGTGAGAGAAGGTAACAGGAGTGGTTGTGAGTGTCAGTGTGTCCTTGAAAACCTGCGATATATGCCTTTATGTGGGCATGCCTGGGTTTCCTATCACAGGTAGTTTGTGCATTTATGTAGTTTTGTATATTTGTGTGTGTGTGTGTGTGTATCTTTGGGATGTTTTTTTTTCCCCAGTGGGTTGGAGGCTGTGTGTGTGTGTGTGTGTGTGTGTGTGTGTGTGAGAGAGAGAGAGAGAGAGAGAGAGAGAGAGAGACAGACAGAGACAGAAAGAGACAGAAGTGGGGGGTCAAGAAGGGGAGAGAAGGAGGAAGGGAGAGAGAAGGAAATGTTAAAGGAATAAACGTCTGAGTACATGTTCCTTCTGGAAATCTTTTTTATTCTTGACCTTAAACGGAAAGTCGGAAATTATTTGGATTGTGAGGATCACCTCCTTCCATGGCCACACTACACAGTCCACTCCTGACATGGATATTAGGACCTAACTCCCCAGTTTCCTTTCATTTCTTTAACCTGTGTCTACACAGATGACACACAAAATGGCTCACATTTTGGATTTCACACACACACACACACACACACACACACGCACACACACACACACACAAATGGCAACCGAACATAAAGATAGGGCATGAAAGCATCGGGAAGTCAGCTTTTTTTGTCAGAATGAAGCAGCTGCTCATCTCCTGAGATGTCAGCTCCATGAGGGTAGGAACTTGCCTGTTTTTATTGCTCCCTTATCCCCAGTGTCTGGTTTATAGCAGAGGCTCAGCCAACACTCGTCAAAAGAATGAGCTGGGAACAACAGAGCATTTTGGTAGATCCATTGTGAAAGGTGGTCCATTTTTTTTTATTGCTTCAATATGGTCCTCTGGAAAAGCAGGAAAGGGACCTCTGCCTTAAAACAATGTAATGACTTGAATCTGTGCGTTGGCAGAAAGGACAGATTCTGGGTTGCATACTTGTTTTTCCAAAGGATATAGTCTGTGATTCTTTATGGTGCTGGGGCCTATGGCCACGCTGATTGCCAGGCCTGGGCTTCTCCATCAGGTAGTCTTGCAGGGGAAGGCAAGGCTGTGATCTGAGCTCATGCTCCCTGCCTCCCTGTGTGGCCTTCTCTGAGTCCTGCTCTCAGAATCTA